AATTCGACAGTTTCGTGTCATTATTGTATATTTTGTGTTCTTAAACCCTTTTTTATTATATTTTGAAATAAATACACTCATAACTTCAATGTTAATTTGTATGTTTAGTGTTGACGATAACAAACGAAAATAAATACAATAATAAGTAAATAAATAAATAATAATAATTATTAATTTAAATTTACCGCCAAAATATCTAGTGATATTTTCTGGTGATTTTTCCTAGTGTAAATCTGACTTTCGCGTTTACTCCTCCTGGTTTAAAAACAGAGTATAGTTATTATAATAATTTATTGTGAAGGAACTTTCAGATTTCGTTGAGATGAGCTCCCGTTTAAGTTTATATTCGATGACGTAAGTATTTAATTGTTCATATTTTGATAATAGACGTGAATAAACACGTGCTTACTTTTATTATTTAAATGTAATGAATGTAGTTTTTGTAATCACACAGCTCGATATCCTGAAGATGACTGTCACACAGTCGAAACCGGTAGAAATCTAATTTATATACAATAAATATCATCGTTTAAGTGCAACATTTAGTTTCATTAATTTATAAAAAACGTTGATAATTTTTATCGTCAACAATTTCTTGTTTGTAATTCAACTTTAGAACGTAATAGATTTCACGTTGCCGGAAGTGCGCATTTCACGGCACCCTTTGATGTACACGAAAGTCGTGTGGCACGAAAATATGCGCATACCCAACCCCTTTTAGAAACCGTAAAGTCGGCGACGACTACGTCTCGTCATGACAAACTCAAAAACGTACAGAAGGAAAAGTTCACAACTATAAGAAATGTCACCTACCTGTTCGTTTCTCGGCGTCCCGAAAAGTGACTTCTTCTAAGATAACCCCGTTGCTGCGTCCTTTTGCGTTGATTGCAAATACCGCGATCCTAAAAGTGACGTCCGGCTCCAAATTATCCAAAAAAAAGTACGGTTCTTTCGTTGAAGTCATATTATATCTTGGTACCGCGGAATTCGTTGAGTATAATTCGAGTAGGAAATGTTGGGTGAGGCCTCCATCGAAACCGGGAAGGCACAGGACTTCCACGGAGCTGCTCGTTTGGTTGGACAGTGAACAATTGCGTACCGGAAACGGTTTACCTTTTAAAGGGAAACGATTAGGTTACAAAGTTAGTTTGAACGCATAGTTTGGGTTTGGCATTTAGTTTCGTGGGGAGTACTGGGTTTGAATAAGGGAACATAAGACGCTTGGGATATGCGGGATGTGTAAAGTGGTTTGGAACTATTGTAATGTTGAGTTGGAATTGTTGTAGAAACACAGTTATACAGAGTATTCAAAAAAATATGAAAATTATATGTTTTCCGAACCATCAAGAATATGTAAACCTCAACATGATTTTATAACACCCTTATAACTGAATAGTGTACGCTTACAAAGTGATGTAGGATCAGAATTAAAGGCATTAAAATTAAAGCATTACACATTTACGAAGTGGATTTAGGCGACACGCGAGTTTTAAAGCCCTGCTATGATGGCGAGGTCGTAATTTTGTTTATCTAATTGCTACTAAGTACGCCGGAAAGAAAAATTGCATCTCGTGATATCTGCTAAATGTTGAATTAAGTACTGCGTTACATGGTACGAAAGGATTATGCGACCGGATATGAAAGCTACTTTCATGACGAACGATATGAAAACGAGAAAGTTTTTTTTACATATATTACGATAAAAATAAAAACATCAAATAATTTTTTATTCAATAACTTTTTTTTTAATTCATTTATAAAATATATACAGTGAATTTCACTTAAAATGCAGTATATAGGAGTCTATATGTATGTGGCACTATTTTTCTGAAAATTTACATATAGCGTTTATCCGAGGAGCTCGTTTCAGCTAAAATATTTTCAGCTTTCTCCAACTTCCGGTTATACCGAAAATGGACCCCAACTTCGTTAGTTTAAATGGAATGTAACAATTTTTATTGAATTTTCGAGATCCCCGCTACATTTTAATATAATTTGATATAAGTTATCATATGTCTAGAGTTCACCTAGTGATGTAAAAAGTAATATTACCTTGGTAATTTAAGTAATATTACCTGCTAAGTTACCGTAATATTACCCGTAAGGTAACCCACTAAATACAGATTAAAATGTTGTTCAACATCGGCTATAAGAGACATCTACCGTCCAAGAGTTCAGTTACAATCACTCTATGATGTCTGTAATATCAAGAAAATCGGGGAATACCTAGGGACTCAAAGAGTTAAAGGTTTTTGATGCCTTTTTGGAAATAGAAGCTGCTATATCACGACAATTATTATCAACATCGATACTTCAAGATGAGCAGGACACAATTAAGAGTATTTTAATGTCAAGAATGAATAAATCGATAAAACCGATACATATAGCTGCTAATTTACTGGAACCAGCAAATAGAGGATGATTTGGAATCTTATCAGGATGATCAGAATTTATTTTTGAAATAGCTAAGACATCCGAGGCATAATGATTCTGAAAATAGTAACTATTAAACTTGCCGGATATACAAAGTGAGAAGCGGTTTCTTTGTAAAAGGGTTGGTCAATTCTAGTGAAAAATTAAATGGGGTTACGTGGTGATCAGGAATCTGTTCCAGTAAAAGCTTGAGCTCACTAGCTTCGAATATATTAAACTTGCCAGCATCTACAGCAGCTACGGAAAGAACTTTCAGCACGTTGGTATAATCAATAAAATTTTAGAATTTAGTCCTACGTTATTACTTTATTTATAGACAAGGATTTATTCACAGTCAAAGAAGAAATCGACTGACCGTTGAAAGAGCGCATATATATCACACAACCACAATTTAATTAATAAGAAAACAGGTCAAGAGGAAGAAAGAGCAGAAGAAAATAGGGACGATAATGACACGGTCGAAAGTGGAAGTGATACTGATAACTTCGTCAGAGATGAGGATGAATAGGAAGATAATCTACCACTTTCAGCACTGAATAAAAAATGAAAATTTTGGTAATCTTACCGGTAATATTACAGTAAAATTACATTTTCTTAAATTTCCAGTAATTTTGCATGACCATTTTTGAATTATTTCAGTTTTTTAGAAAATTTTGGGAGATGTTAAATATCTGCTAAATATTCTCAGGGTTTGCACAGAGAGGACCCATAGCTTACATAACCCTTGAAAAGTTTTAAAAAAAATTATACAGGTTGGTCAGAAATTTGTGCCGAATTTCCCTATCTCGAGAAGAGGAAAGAAGTTTTTTTTTAAATGACAACCCCAATTTTTTCCTTCACCAGCGCATTATACGCTGCAAAATAAGGGAATTTTGTCATTACATTCCTATATCTAAAATGTACGGTTTTTAAAACTTGAAAAAAAATAAATTTAAAATTATCAGTTGGCTTTGATTTGAAGCAACCACACCGAAGAAACAAAAACTATCGTATTAAAACAAATAATTTGATGTTTACGTAGCAAACGTGTTAATCATGTTCCATTTAGGATTTAGTAATTGTAGAACCTATTTTCAGATTGTTGGAAAGCACAAAAGAGTTAAACCAATCGTAGATAACGAACAAAATGAAATTACAGTTTGGGGGTACTTCAGAGCGTATCCTGAAAATTTGTTATGCTAAAAGAGATTTGGGAATATCTAAGAAAAGCAATCACAGAAATTTAAAAAAACATAACTTTCATCCTTATTACGATCAAAGGAGAATTGATTTTTGTGAATTTATGTTGATTAAAACTCAAGAAGATGAAGATTTTTTGGAAAAAATAGTTTGGACAGATGAGGCAAAATTTCACAAGAATGGTGTGTTCAACCGGCATAACTCTTCTTATTAGAGTGATACTAACTAGTGCTAACACATATTTCGTGAAAGACAATTTCAAATACTGGAGTTTTAATGTTTTAGCTGCCATAAAAAATGATGGTGCACTTTTATAACGAAAATTTGAATGGTAAGCTTATTGGAAATTGTCGGGCAAATTTTGTTTCTAAAAAATTTACAAAATTATCTACAGCTGCTAAATCTAAACTGGAATCAGCTGTGGTGCCAACACGGCGGATCTCCACAAAAAGTCAGCTGTACAAAAATATGTTTCCATAGAAACCAGGTGTATTCATCTACCTTTGGCGTACCCACTTACTTTGTCCCAAATAAAATGCAACCAACATGTGTGAATGTTTCTAGTTCTAGGTTTAATGTTAATTCTAGTGACAGTGGTAGGTAGCACTAGTTAACATAAGATATCACTATGTTGCATATTTTTATTGAACTAAAACTAGAACTAACACTAGACCTGGAACTAGAATCATTCCGGTTTAGCCATCTTGAGAAACGTGCGGCTAAATCCAATGTTTCTAGTTCTCGGTGTAGTGTTAGTTCTAGTTTTACACTAGCACTATCATATATTGCAAGTTATATGAAATTCCCTGTATATTACGATATAAATAAAAACATCAAGTCATCTTTTATTCAAAAACTTTTTTTTTAAATTCATTTATAAAATATATACTATATGTATAAATTATTATTTGGGATTTCCACAATACATTATTATTAATAATAATAATTCGTATGAAAATGGTAAATATTGTTTTATTAGGTACCACGTTCGGTTGATCGACATTTTTATCCCGTCGAAAATGTTATTTATATGACATAACGCCAGCGTGTTGCGTTGTCGCATTAAATTAAAGCCGTCGCTTTTAAATGATTAAATATGGCAACCATTTAATGCCGGATTATCTTGCCTCGAAATGCGAATTATGATTATCAATTAATTTAATCAACGGCGGCATTTTAATTCCGGATATTAATTGGAAACGATTGCCCCGACAATTTTGTGTAAGTACTCTTCGTAAATGTCCTTTACAACAAGTTCGTTAATCGATGATAACGTTTTAAAATGATACAATTATTTTTAATTCGTATTATAAAAAACAAAGCGTTATTTTAAAAATGTTGTTGAAATTTTTATATATCAAATTTTATTTACCTGCTGCTACAACTTGAAAAACACAAGGATTTATTTGATGTCCAACTGAATTGGAAGCCCAACAAGATAACAATCCATAATCCATTTCATGGACTGGTGTGTATCGTAATATACTCATAGATCCGTTGCTTGTTTTCGCAAATCTTTCGGCGTCGACATCGAGCGTTTCTCCGGAGTTGTTGAACTTCCACCTGTAGGTTTTTGCCGGAGGATCCGCTTCGATCTCGCAGACGACGTCAATGTTTTCTCCTCTCGACGCTCCGAGGACCACAATGCGGTCTTGTCTGCAAATCGGGGCATCTGAAACCGGAGCATGGCGTCTCGTTAATTGGTTTAATCATTAGCCCGGATACCGGAAGCCTCGCTTGTCGATTGATTGATTGATATCAGAGTCGAGGGCGTAATTAAGCCGCTATCTATTATCTGGACGGTACAGGTTGGTATTAACTCGTATGATGTCAGTTTTATATTCACTTAAAACGTAAACGGAAAAAAAAATTAAATGCTTAATATGATAATTTTTTATTTAATATAAGAAAAACGTATGAAGAGTTTTGTTACCTATCATAAAATTGGGGATGAAAATGGGGAAAAGCGTTGGGTTGAGAAGTTTTCGTGGTTTTATCAGGAACGTATTCTGTCACCGTAAAATATTTAAGCGTCTGCTGGTGCCATCTCGACCGTTACTGTATATTAAAAGCGCCGCGCGTAAAATGCTTATTGGGGGCACCATCTGTAGTCGATTGGCCGTTTTGGAAAGTTTGGTTCGGGTTTAATAACAATTTCTGATCTAAAAATAATCATTTTCATAAACATTATGTGTACATTTAGATGTTGAGTTACAGATTTGGAAAATCGCTTTGTGCTTAGATGAGTGTCCCAAACTATCCGATACAACAACATCAATATTAACCACGGTTTAGATCACATAGGGGTTGATGATGGCTCTCGTACAAGTTTCCTACTCTGTTTACGTAACACGACGAAACCCCTTTACGCGTAAACTACGCGTCCTGTCGTCTATTTATGTTCGTCCCTTTATGGGATCAATAATCCGGTGGTTGTATAACAACTTGTTAACAACTACCCCGAAGTCTATTCAAACATTAGACGAGGTTCTTTTCAAAATTTCAAAACTAAAAGGAGGCGAACGAAAATGAACACAAACAAACTTTACTAATAGTACTATTTCAAAGTAAATACACGGACGCGTTCAGGTGATTTAATTCCTGGAAACGATGGGACTCGCCATCCTCGAGAGTAAACCCGAAGGGTAAATTACTAGAGCAAACAACTGCTTATCACTTAATGGCCGGGGACAAGTGTCCAACGAAAAGTATCTCTCCGCTGTGTTGCGAAACTGTTGCGGCCACTATTAATTGTGTAACTCTCAGATAACCGGACCACCGGAGACCCTCGTTTCGTGGATGACTGATTTTCACTAAAAGCGGTCGTCTTGGATAAAAGAGAGGAATTCAACTGGAAATTTATTCTTCTAAAACATATATCAATTCTATTAATCAAACAAAAACTATATCTAGTTTTATTTTGTCTAGTTTTATATAAAATTTAAGTCTAACTAGTTTCGGCCCTTGGTCATCTTTAGAGACACTACATCTATCTCACATCTTATCTTATATTATTATTACTTAGCATAAGATATCACTATGTTGCATATTTTTATTGCACTAAAACTAGAACTAACACTAGACGGACCTACTACCACTAGCACGGCTAAACCCGCATATTTCTAGTTCTAGGTCTAGTGTTAGTTCTAGTTTTACACTAGCACTATCACTAGACCTAACACAAGACCTAGAACTAGAATCATTCGGGTTTAGCCGTCTTGAGAGATCTTGAGGTCTAAATCCGAATGTTTCTTTCTCGGTTTAGTGTTAGTTCTAGTGGCAGTGGTAAGTAGCGCTAGCTAGTATAAGATATTACTATGCTGTATATTTTTATTGAACTAAAACTAGAAGGAGAACTCAGTTGTCAATGTCAACTTTAATTTTATTATTATATTCGTAATCTTCATAAAATAACCTTTAAAATGAGTCCAAACTAGACGCATTTATCTCAAAAAACCAAAAAGTTCGAACTTTCAACTTTTAATTTTGACATATTTGTCAACTTCACAAAAAATCCTTTAAAATGAGTCCAAACTCGACATATTTAACTTTAATATTAATGGAAATACAATCACTTCCGGTTTGAAACGTCAACGTCAATTTTGACATATTTGTCATCTTCATTAAAAAACCTTTAAAATGAGTCCAAAGATGACGCACTTATCTCAAAAAACAAAAAAGTTAGAATAAAAAACATTAAACCCGAAGTTAGCAACAATGAAGATAGCAATTTAATTTTTAAATATTAATACCAACCTTAATTTTTTATTTTTTTTTTTTATATTTTTGTTTTTGTGACAAATATTAAGACATTTTATAAAAATTAAGAATATGTCAAAATGACATTGACATTTCAAACCGGAAGTTGCTTATATCTCGAGTAATATTGGAATTAAACGTATCATGTTTGGACTCATTTTAAAGGATTTTTCACGACGATTACAAATATGTCAAAATTGACGTTGACATTCTTAACCGGAAGTTGACCATAACTTCATTAATATTGAAGATAAATATGTCGTGTTTGTACTCATTTTAAAGGATTTTTAATGAAGATTACAAATATGTCAAAATTGAGGTTGACATTTTAAACCTGAAGTTAGTTATCATATAATAGAAGTTTTATAACTGAAGTTAATCTAGTGTTAGTCACTTTTCCACACTTTCTTTTTATTTCTAACGTGTTTTTTGGGTCATTTCACATTGATTTAAAAAAAAATCGTCGATTTTTAAGCCACGTTTCTTAATATTTCTTTTGTTAGAAAAGAGTGTGCTTAAATTTTAACCTGTAAACTTGTAACACTTCGTCTTTAATTTCATTTTACAACATTTTAAACTTTAATTTTGTAAATGAGTAACTAATAATCTGATTTCGACTTTGATATGTGAACTTTTTTAACAAAACAAAAAGAAATATTAAAAAACTTGTTTGTAAAATGGATAAAATGAGAGATGTTAATCTATTTATAGAGTCTCTGAAGATGGGCAAGGGCCGAAACTAGTTAGACTTACTTCTGCTGAATTTATGCTGGTATCACGTAATTGCACAAACAAACAAGTAGTATTCCTTAAAACTGAATTAAATTAAACTATTAACTATATACATTACAATGCGATCTGTTAAAAACGCAACTACATTTTGCCCATCACTCGAGTGCTACCAAAGACGAGACATTTAAGACCACGAGACCAAAAGTAGTTTTCAAAGGTATTCATAAAATCATTCAATTAATTTAGAGATGAAGTAATGAAAGAAAGATAATTGTGGTATTATTCTGATAACGACAGAAGTTAGAGATGATGCTGAGAGCTATTAAAAACGATGTTCAAGGATCTCCAAGATGATATTAAGGGAGCTTGGTATTGAAAGACGCCAGAAAGTGATTGAGATAAATTAGTACCGATGCGGTGTAAAGTTTAATGTCACTACTACTATCTCTTCAACGAACGAGATATATCGTTAAGAGTATATATTGTAGCGCCTCGGCTGCAAGTGACCTCGACTTTTATCTCTGCAATGGTGAATATTGACTAAAATTTTTTTAACGAATGAGTTTGTACCGCCTTGGCTGTCAGCTATTATCTCTCTAACTGTGAAAATTTTAGCATTACTACTACTCAACTACTATCTCATTAAGAATGCAAATTGTAGCGCCTCGACCGCAAACGACCTCGGCTTCAGACTCTTTGATGATATAAAGATTGCCTCTTAGATATCTTCTCTTTAGATTAATTCTATTTGATCGTGTATATTTTAGCGTGTTGGTTATCGTCTTTCAACGACGGTGTCGAAAGAGATGTTGAGAGATAGTGTTGACAGTTGTTATATTTTTTACAAAGTTAAAACTTGGTGGTTCAATTTAGTACATGTCGTTTCTAAAACATGTTCCAAACATATTCACTTTTCAGGTTTGGAAACAACATGTATACGCTCTTAAAATCGTTATGAAATATCAACGTCAAAACACTATTTTCTGCGATCGCATCGAGCTTTGTTTTCACTTTACACTTCCCCAACTAAAAGCATTTTGGAACTTGCGCATAGTCACACATGAAGCAAATTTAAAAATCGGTGTTTTTAACAACTCGTATTGCTAGGTTTTCGAGTTAGATATAGGTCGATTTTTTTTGAATATATTATAACGTTTATTAAGATAAATGATCTGAAATTTGTATGTCTCGTTTACGACGGTGTTTTCGTAATGACACTTCGGTAATCATCACCGTCGACGAAACATTTGCCTCAATGACACGAGAAGAGTTTTCCGCTGGCGAGAAAAGCGTGTGGAAAACTCATTTGTAGCTGTCTATTACAATAATAAGATGCCGTCACGGGTCGTTACGCCATTCGAGCCGATTCGCGTTCGCGTTTTGCATTTCTTTGAGTCGTTAGTCACGCGGTGCGGCACCCACATGGCACCTTCTCAAGGAAATCGCCTCCATCACGTTTTCCATCCAACATCAACGGAAAGCCAACCAATTGACGGCAATTCACGATGAACGCCTGCAGGTTTTCCACAAATTGTATCCGGAAGTAGGGGATGTTTATGGATTTCCCTACTATAAAAGTACGCTATAAAATTTACTTCGCTCTTGTGAAAAGTTAAAAAAGTTTTGGGTTAAGAACACGTAAGACGTAGTTGTCAAAAGAGTGAACGATGTCGATAAATGACAAATAGCTGGTTTAATAGAGTTCTTAGACTGGAGATTCTTCTGGTCGATACGTTGCAACTTTTCCGGTCAATCCTCTCTCTCCATCACTTTATTATCCTGAGGCCCAGTGGTCCATTAGGGAACAGTGGCCGCGTCGCGTCCTGCACCGTTCCAAAGCCCCCTTGTCACAACATCCGTGATGTATTGCCCTGGTAGGACACTCGTTATCCCCTGATAATACCTCCACTAAATAAACCCGAGTGGAGGCGCTCGCGTAAATATTTAAAGTCCGACCCCTTTTTTCACACACGACGACGCCACAGCTTTTTTTTGTTATGTTTTCCCTCCGATACGGGCCCCCGATTAATCGCCGTTTGGGGGTGGGCAGCGACAGGTGGAGTTGCAGGCGCCGAGGTAATTAACAAAACTACCTACCCTTAATTGGCTTTTATAGTCCTTGTAAATGTGTCACCGTGTTTTGTTTGCACGCTCACCCATAATCATCTCCCAAAATGAACTACACGTTACATCATCGCGTATATTTATTTATTCAGTTAGAAAAGAAAACGAAGCTGTAGTAATAATCACAGAGTATTAAGTAAGTCCGGAAGTGCAGATCATCAAATTATTCGACGTCGGGGAGATGTGAGAGGGGGTTGTTGGAGACGTTGGTGGCACCATCAAATATTAGACGCTGAGATCGCCTATTAGGAACTGCATAATTACAGTCAGGTGTTTATGGTAATCGCGGCCTCCTCGATAATGGGCTACGCCGCCCCTTTATAACCCCTTTACCCCGCGCCCCCAACAACCTCGTCGACGATATTTGATCTTCGTGTGTGTGCGCGTGTTTACAGAGAGAGCGAATGTCGGGTATTCAATCGATTCCGTCAATGGCAGGCGTGATTGGGTACATGCCGCAGGTATCGAAGGTCTAACTTGGAACTATAAGGGATGTATGGGGTATGTGTATGAGGGTTTGGGGAATGGTAAATTAATCTTCGGAGTTGCGAAACCGTTAACTGTTGTCTTCTGAAATTGCGGTCAGATTCAACAACTTAATCCAAAATGTAAATAAGATAAGTTTACCTTTTTTAGCTTCGTGTTAGTTTAACATTTAGTTATTTTAAAAATAGAAAACCTTAATGAATTAACCGAGTTTATTTTTCTGTTGTTAGATTACTGGGTGGTTTGAAATGTCTTGTGGCGTCAATTTAAAGCGCCACAATTCACGATTAGCGACGGTTTTCGAGCGTCGAAAGTCGCAATCTTGATACTATTACCCTTGACGTACTTACATTGAACACGAAATGCCAGTTCGTTGCTGAGTGTTTCTCCCTCAGCGTTCACTACAGAACAAACGTATCTCCCTGCACTTTGTCTCGTAACACGTTGAAGGACGAGACTCTGATTGCTTCTTATGATCCTGGCGGACATGTTATGATTTAAAATGATACCCTGTAAAAAAAAACAGCACAGAGTTAATTTTAAATTATTTTTGTGCGCGCACAAGATACACGCACGCAAAATGTTACGCGTAAATTTACACCCCCTCATCTATATTCAGGTTGGTTTCGGAGGGTTGGTTACATGAAAATGCTCTCAAAGGTCACCGGATTCGAACTGCTCCGTATTACGCCACATAAAACGAGGTATTCTATTATAAACTGAAAGCACAGTTTACAAAGAAAACTAGTAAATTATACATCGCTTGATGGGATTTGATTGGTTGAAACAAGAGAGTTCTAAAAAGTTTCTTTGAGTAGATGACACAGAACCGACGACAGTTTAAAATATTTCGTTAGAACTTTAAGCGTACTGTCCGGGAATATTAATTAGGATTGGCTCCTGTCGGAAGTTGGACTTCCCGCGGCGTTCCGGCAATTTTAAGCAAGCTAGCGGTTCTCGAAAAATAGTTGTGCCCGAAGCTCCATTGTACGAGGGGGTTAACGGATGGCCGTAAAGTACTTAAACAGTTGCCTGGGCGGAAACGCGACGCGAATTTCGCGGCTTCCGCCTGGGAGCGGGAATTAAATCTTTAATATCAAACTTTCCGTCGTAACGCCTCCGTCTTTCCAACCTCGCATCTTCCCTTTCCGGGGAATGCTTTTAATTCGAATCCGGTTAATTATGCCCACTAAACATCTGTCATTTAATTCAAACTCGATTTATAGCAAAAATTCTTGTTCAAACATCAATGTTTTTTTCTCAGAAGCAAGTCATGGAAAAATCAAATTTAACAAAATTATTTTGTACGCCGCATATTCAAATTTCAAGTTACGACGAGGATGTTAGGCAAACGACTTGGTGTTGAGCAATATTCTTCTTCCTCTCAGATTTTATATCTGTGTGACATACATTTTGTTACACACTGACGTTGTGTATTAAAGCCCGGGAAGATTTGGGTTGGGTTTGGGTTGAATTAGGTTGTGTTGAGTTTTTCGTCAGAACCGAGCTTTGTAAATGCGAAACGTCCATAAATTAATTGCCGACATTGCTTTAGACATACAGCATACATGAATAACTTTTGGACTTTTATTTGGACTCGCAGCTTTTGGACGACGAAGACATACGGAGTACCATATAAATCTGAAATAAATGTAGGTTGTGGAAGGTTATGATAGTATATGACTATAATATTAGTTACAAATCGATGTACTCTCACTTTCACGTGAAATACACCACTCATTAAGAATTAGACTAAAATTTTGAAACTTCCAAAAACAACAAAACAAAAATTAACATCTTTCAAGATAAAGCATGCATTAACTCTTCTACCCATGCTCTATATTAAGTGGTCGATATCCTCCTGGGGTATGTCGTTCCATGCAACCTTTAGATGGTGTCGAAGTTCATCCAGATTCTCAGGAGGCCTGTACTTGTCTTAGTCGCTGACTAATCATATCTTAGACATATTCAATCGGCAACAAGTCCGGTGATAGTGCAGGCCAGGCCAAAATCTGCAATCCAACTTGCTCCAGGAACCTTCTTGTAACCATATCAATATGGGGTCTTGCATTATGGAAAGTGGCATTCTGCAACGTCTGCATGAAAGGTACTAACACTGGTTCAAGAACGTTGTCGATGTAACGACGTAATGTGCCTGGAATGAACGTAAGGGGTGACCTTCATCCAGCACATATCGCCCCCAAACCATAACCCCAGGTGTTAAAGCTGTGTGTCGTCTTTGAACGAACTCCAAATTCCGTCTTTCCCCTCGATGTCGCCGCATCCTTCTACGACCATCATGCACCCATAAACAAAACCTTGATTCATCGCTGAAGACGATGTCATTCCATTGATGAACCTACCCTTGCCGTTCTTGACACCATGCAAGTCTGGGTGCTTTATGTGGAGGTGTTAATGGAAGCCGAAGGTAAGGACGGTATGAATGAAGCCCAAAGGAAGAAATCAACCTTGTTGTTTGAAATCGATCCGCCTAAGGAGTTGGTTTTCATGTGCGTTGCTTCTTCGGGCGGGTCTTCCAGCAAGACGGCGCCTCTGAATACCTTCTTCGGACCATAAAGACCATATCTGAGGAACTGTAGTGTGGTCCCGATTAAGCCTTCTCCCAATCTCTCGGAATGAAAGACCCGCCTCTTTCATACCGATAATTTGGCCAACATCAAAGTCATTGATATGGGCAAAATTTCGATGACGTCGCACTGGGGGTATTACAAGACGTCTACTTCTACTTAACAGCTTGAGGGCAGAAATTCATTAATTGCTAGGAAGAAAATATTGAAAGTTGGAGATGGTACAGGAAACAACAGTTGAGTTTTTTCGGCGAAAACTTTCATCGTTTCTTAGTTGATAATAAAGCATTATTTTACCGAAGTTTCAAAATTGTAGTTTGAATTTTAGTGGGTGGTGGATTTCATATGAATCTAAGCATATTAAGAGCGGTGGTAGCGTTAAACTATTATCTTGTGACCCTTGACTGTCAGAAATCTTTTCGAATCACTTTAATATCTTTGCCGACAGTAGTCTAGGCTTGTAATGGGTGGTCTACTGGATTTTGACATATTCTGGTTGCTTAAATAATAATCACGCTCATATGATGCCTAAACATGCCGATGAATAAACTAACTCTGCCTATGAGACGACACTTAAAACGTATCATGTGTGACATCCTCTCTCTGACTAACCACAACTCTGAATTCCATAAATATATAATATACATCCAATTTGGTTATTATGATTAATAATATATATACAGGGTGTCTCAGCGAGACCGGTCATTAGACGTTTCTGGGGTTCTGGCGAAAATAAAAATTTGAGAATTCAGACTTAAGTATTATCAATTACGATCTCTTCGACTAAAATATTTTCAGATTTCTTGCACTTCCGGTTATACCGGAAGTCGCCACCTACTTTATTTTTTTAAATGGAACACCCTGTATATTTTTACATATTTGGATTTGTCTGTTTTCAAGGTTTATAAATAACTTTACTTTTTGCAATTTGATTCGGTCGTTCTCGAGTTATTCGAATTTTTCTAGAAAAATCTGCTCCAGCAGACATTTGTTCAAAAAATCAGAAAACACTCAATTTTTGGGATATCAATTTAGGATTGAGAACATGCTTAAGCAACATGATGGAGTATGTTTTGGTGCCGAGAACTGCGGTCTAGAACGTTTGATCACTTTACTATGGCACGTTAACTTTTCAAAATTTGGAAGTACCATAACTTCATTTTTTTAAATGGCACCCCCCATATTTTATTTTTTAGTCGTCTTCGGTGTCTCATTCTACATCTTTTATATCCCATATGGCCCATACCTAATATTAATAGTTTGGGAGATAATTAGGGTTTTTTGAAAAATGCACACATATCATATGGATATTTAGCCTAGTGTGCCATGAAAAACAAGCCTTCTCAATGAGTTCTTGTCAAAGACTCACTTGTTTACGTCACTTGATGCATGTGAGCTAATAATTATCTGTTATGTCCCTTAATATTAGTACTGAAACGAGTTAAAATCGATAACAATAACGAAAGTAATATTTACACAAATCAAGAAATTCTTAATTTATTTTTTTTGCATGAAAAGCGCGACAAAGTTCGTAGTATGATTCCCAGATCTTCTTTGGCAGCTCGAATTGAGGTGTTGGGACTGGGCTCGAAATAAGCCAAGGTATTCACCTCTTCCGTTGCATTATCTACTACATTTTTTGGTCAGTTTAACACGTGATTAATTCGTCCAAAATGCAAAAAATTTGCTTCTATTCCTCTAAATTTACCTTTTGTCATCGGAGATAAATGTGGATAATTTTCATTAAACATTCTGCAAGTTCTACTAAGAACTTTGTCGCACTTTTCGTGCACAAAAAATAAATTATGGATTTCTTCATTTGTATAAACATTATTTACGTTATTAATATCCATTTTAACTGGTTTTAGACTCACAAGCATCAAACAACCTAAATTAGACTTTGACGTTTATCAATAAGTCATTAAACATTTGTTTTCCATGGCACACTAGGTTAATATCCATATGATATGTGAGCATTTTTCAAAAAACCCTAATTATTTCTCAAACTATTAATGTTAGGCATAGGACATATGGAATATAAAAGATGTAAAATGAGACGCCGAAGACGACTAAGTAATAAAATATGGGGGGTGCCATTTAAAAAAATGAAGTTATGGTGCTTCCAAATTTCGAAAAGTTAACGTATCATAGTAAAGTGACCAAACGATCTAGACAGCCGTTCTCGGCACCAAAACATACTCCATCATGTTGTTTAAGCATGTTCTGAATCCTAAATTGATATCTCAAAAATCGAGTGTTCTATGATTTTTTGAACAAATGTCCGCTGGAGCAGATTTTTCTAGAAAAATTCGATTAACTCGAGAACGGCCGAATCAAATTGCAAAAAGTAAAGTTATTTATAAACCTTCAAAACAGACAAATCCAAATATGTAAAAATATACAGGGTGTTCCATTTAAAAAAATAAGGTAGGTGGCGACTTCCGGTATAACCAGAAGTGCTAGAAAACTGAAAATATTTTAGACGAAGAGAACGTAATTGATAATACTTAAGTTTGAATTCTCAATTTTTTATTTTGGCCAGAACCACAGAAACGTCTAATGACCGGTCTCGCTGAGACACCTGTATATATAACAATAACTGTAGTTTTACATGAAATGTACAGTAAAAAGTGTATCGATGTAAGATTGAAAACAATAAAAGATTGTATAGAAGAATAAAAGAAAATCTTAAAGCAATTACATCAGTCCCGCATGTGAGTGACTTTATCGCACAGACTGTGACACATGCCTTTCGATGGCAAATGCGGGAAAGACGGATTATCTTTAATTATCCGAGACGTCGAACGCTGCCGGCGGAATTGTGGTCTGCAAAAAGCGTAACGAGCAAAAAGATTATCGTCCGGAGATTTTTCCGATCAACGTTGGACGCCGAAACGTAGACAGAGAGGAAAGAGGGTAAAGGGATTCCACTCTTACCCCACCCGATTTCCGTTCCTTCTTTAATCACAAACCGCAATTTTAACGATGGCCCTCACTCGGTTCTAGAAGAGACTGAAAAACCATAGCTTTCGTTGAAATATTATCCAACGATTGCGGTTAGCTAATCGGTCTTATTGGCCCAAATTCCCGTGATCGTTGACCTCGTTTTAACGTCAATATGCCGCCTTGAATAGAAATCAATAAGAGAACCGAACGGTTTCTAGTCTTCGTTAAATTCTCACCGTACCCTTAGTAAATGAATTAATTAGAAAGTTAGAAAGATCGAAAACAACTTTCTTGCAGCTCACTAATCAGTATCGATCCTCGTTGGGGTTGTCACAGGAAAGTGATTGATTTTCGAGGAGGTAGAATCAAGTTGAAAACTTGCTACTACGAAAATGTATAGGTTTCTTTTCTTCTTTTACGGAAGCTGAAGTGGCTTAAAGTAGGAAACCGTTATTACCGCACATCGTTCGTTCGCCGATTGCATGGCAGGGAATAATTTTATAAACGCGGGCGCTGTTGGCAGGGACTCTACTCTGTAATTTGCATCGGAAATTAATTTATAATAAGTAATGCCGATGTCGTGGCGCGCTACGATACGAACTGCCTGTTATGTTCAATTAGGTGGGCGAAAAAATTGGGGCTCTCCTGTCAAAGAAATAGACCGAAAAAAAAATCCAAATAAAATAAAAATCAAAAAAAGAATTGATCGTCATCTTAACGAAGTCCTCAATCGCAGCGGCTCGGGACATTAATCACAATTTCAATTAAACAAAGAGCTCGGAGGATCCATTAGGATAATTCGGTTCCCGCCGCGGCATTAGCGGCCCATTTCAATTTCATATCCCCATTTTTAAACCCTTCCCGTATCTCTCTTCCACTCTCTCTTTAAGGAAAACGCTTCACCAATTTCTCTCCCCCGTTGCGAAAAAAATTAATAGTCTATTATTCTCCCCGCGAGGAATCGAATAAAAATCATTACCGGGGGTGACGCTCACCGGAAACAAATCGCCGCCATCGCGTTTCCCCCCATTATCGCTTTCTTCGTGGAAAACACGCCGGGATTGATAAAGAAAAAAAAGGGGGGGAGAAATTCGAAAAGGGCAGCTTCAGTTAATGAGGTATGAGCAAACAGAAGGAGATGGGGAGTAGAATTGGTGGCGGCGAGAATTGCGGATTTCCTATGTGGATGTAATTTTGTCCTGTCAATCTGTATTTGGAGGAAATCGAGACGAAGAGGGTTGATAATTAATAGTATTGCGTGGAAAATAATTATTTCTAGAAATTAGAGATCTTTATATTCTCATAGAAGACTCATAAATATGTATAGTCAAACGTGATGAGAATTTTATAAAAGAAAATAAAAATACTTACATCGTGAAGCCATGTTAACTTTCTCCATTGGGGATTCGCGCGAACATGGCATTCAAAGTAAACATCATCCCCCTCCTTAATGTCGTCTGCATTGAGTGTACTTCCAAGTTGTAAAGACACTATCGGCGGGTCTGAAACAATAGGGCCTATTGTCAGTGGAGGCTTCGGAAGAGAGACTCTTTCAAAACCGTATAAATCACCCGAGCACAATGCTTCATATTAACACGGATAAACTTGGACGTTTCCGCGCTTAAAGTGGGCTTTTTAATCTTGAAAGTTTTCACATTTATCTTTAAAGGGGTTGTTTTCGATTTCTTTTTATTTTTAAATTACCTCCTTATTTTATCTCCATTTTAACGATCGTTTTTAGGTTTCGTTAAGGGTTTCAATGGATATATAATGATAATAGAGCGATGATACTTGTACTTACAGACAACGTCTATTTTCCATGAAGTTTCCATGTACAGGCCGTTGACGTCCGGGTTTTCTGCCCTGCACGTTATGGATTTTCCATCGTCCTCCGTCGAGGGAACAAAGTTCAGCTCGCTTATTGTTACGTTCTCCCGGACCTCGTCCTGGAAAAGAAATTTTAATGAAAAGTACGGTGCCATTAATTTTTCGACAAAGAGAGCGTTGAATAGTCGACGGGGATTTCCCAGAAAACTCCGGAATTGTTATATAAAATTATATTTTTAAAAAAAGTTCCAAGTATTTTATTCGTTCGATTTTCCAATCACTATTTTATTGTTATCAACGAAATTGTTTAGTTTTTACTATTTTTTCAATATAATTTCATTAGCTTGAGAGTCCCGGGATATTTTTCGGGCGGGATTCGCCATAACGTCAGCCGATCGATTTTATAGCGTTAATCGAGGTTTAATTAAGACGAATGTCCAAATGGACAAACGTACTCTATCAAAAACTGGGCCACAGCTCAATTGAAAACTGATGGGGTTTATATTGGGATTTCAAGTGTTTATATTCGAGAAAGTTTTAACAATATATTTCTCTTTTATTAAAACAGCTCTGTTTGCTTTTGTTGATTTTCATATGAAATTTTGTTTTCTACAGTGTGATTTAGGAGTAATAAGAATTAATTTCGCCCCACAAATTTTTATAAACAAACTATAAAAGTTATGATGAAATAAAACTGGATTTATTATAAAACCTTAAGACCACTAACTTGATTATAGCAGTACTCCGTATAAAGAAGGTCTACTAAAGAGTCGTTACACTGACGTTGAAGAATTCCGTTAAAGACGACAATCGAATAAATGAATTAAGATGGTACACAAAAGTTAAATCACCTGTTGCCGATATTGATCATGTAAATATTAAATTTATCAAACTGTGTTGTTTCTACATCGTTCAATATATAATGCATATCCTTGTTTATAGATTTACATAGTTATTCAACCGATGTTAGTTTGTGTACGTGGTGCCCAGAGGGCAGGGTAATTTATGTGTTAATTGATATGTATATTTCTTGAACTTATAACTTCCTTCCAATCTTAGTTCATTTTGCACAACCTCATTCTTGTATTTCATGTGTAAATTAATACATAAATTACCTTGCCATCTGGATATCATCGAACACAAAGTAACATCGGTTGAATAACTATGTATATCGATAAACAGGATGCATATGGTCAGTTACCGATTAACGCATTGCAGTGTCAAACTTAATTAATTTATTAACAAAAGAAAATCTGTTGTTTTCGACATAATCGGATTCTTCTTCTAACTCACAGGATCTCTACAAAAGAATGCTGCAAAAAGAAAATACTTATATACAACAAAACATAAGATTCAACAGCGCTGAGTATGATGAATATTGGAGTGAAGTCATTACAAAATAAACCAGAACCAGAAGCAGAAGAAATTTTACAGGATGAGTACAGAATCCACCAAAAGCTATCAACCAAACACAGGAATGGTTGCTACTATGCTTGTAAATACCTAATGACGAATAAAATACTAGGCAGACAATCGCAACCCAAGATCTATCCCACTATTATAGGACCAAGACCAACATATGGATGCTAAGCATATGGTCCATGTCGACAGGAGATGAAAATAAATTAATAGTCTTAGAACAGCTATCACAAGATATATGGACCGATACAAGATGATGAACAATTGGATCAGCTTGTGGATGATACAGGCATAGTAAGACACATAAAAGCACAGAGAATAGCATGGCAAGAATAACTGGAAAAGAAGTAAGGAGACAGAGGAGTGAAAAGAATTGTAGAATGGACACAACAGAGACAGAGAGCTAGAGGATGAGCAAAGAATGATGGAAGGATAATGTGATGGAAGACATCAGGATGCATATTTAATACTAAAATAGCATATTCTCATAGCTAGACTAGATCTTATTATGGATTATGCTTGCTTGGTTCAATGCACGTCATGATACTTATAGCTGATAGTTGAGATAATCAAAAAAATCAGAAACAGATAAGATGATATAATATCCTTAACTCAGGATTTAATTTAAATATTTAAATTTCATTTTATTGACTAAAAATGACAGTCTAAGATTCTTATTCTCGTCAAATTGTAGCGAGAATAAGATAATAGAAATCATCTATTGGGACAACGCGTTTACCTCGCATAGAACGTCTTCGTACATGCTATAAGTTCCGTTATACGTGCGCTAAAATATAAACGAATGCAGAAGTAGACCTTAAAAATAATGCGGAACTTCCGAAGTTACGGAAGCGGATATCCGTTATTAAAATATTGTTTCGTTGACATAAAAGATAAAGCACACATTTTAGACGACCCCAAATCGCATTAAACTATTGTTATGAAATAATAATGTGATAAATAATAATGAGAAAGACCAATTTCACGTTTTATATGCTAATGGTTTGTTTAATCGCCATTAAATAACCCTGCGATGAGAGAAATACATTAAATACAATGTATTATTTCTGTGAATTACTGTTTAAAAGTAGATTTTATAGAGATTAGAATGTTAAAATTATATTTATCTAGTTGCATCTACAATTGCAGTTTATAATTACCTGTTTCGATTAAATGTGTTTTGAACTTAACTTGATTTGGCGTGAATTTAAGTATTATTATTTAAGGAATTTATTTAAAATTTTGAAATATTTTGGGTACGTCATAAATGATTCCCCCTACATAACAAATAAATAAGCTTACCTTGGCTCTTTTCAGCTGCCTCTTCCCCTTGTACCAAGTGATAATAGCAGGAGGGCGAGATCCAGCCGACTCGCAGGTCACTTCGTATCTTTTCTCAGCCACCAAAGGGCTTACGGTGTTCAGGATCTGAGCCGTCAGAGGCTTTACTGAAAAAAAAAAAAAATAAAATAAAAAATAACAAAATATGATGAAGTATTTTCTTTTTAGATAAAAAATAAACTTACGTTGTAAATTTAAAATAACCACAGCTTCTTTCGGTTCTGTTAGTTTTGTATTAACGGCTTGGCAAGTAAATAAAGCGTCTAAATGATTTCTTGAAACCGAAGGCCACACCAATCGATTTTCAATGACATCGCCGGCGTTGTATTCATACTGATCGTCGACGATTAAACCGTTTACTAACCATCTTACAACCGGTTCGGGGTGACCACCAACAGTCCTACAGGTTAATGTTATATCATCGCCTTCGCGGTGTGGTCCAACCGATCCATTTAATTGTCTCCCCCATTTATCCAAAATCGTTGGTTGTTCCGGCGGAACTGAAAACAATTTTAAAAAAAATTAAAACGATTTTTCGTAATTAGATTCCTCTCAAAAATCCATTAAAATCTGATCGTGACATTAGCGTACCCTCCTAATTTACCCGTTCCCATTTTTGGTTTCGTAATTAATCACACCCCCGGGTTCTTTTAAATACCGTCAGGGTAGAGAAATGATTCGGAATCATATTTTCATTTTTCCGAGGCCGGCTCATTCATCTTTCTCAGCGAGGTAGCGGCGCGCGTTTCCGTGTAATTCTGATAAATAGCGTCTGGATTAACCGTAAACATTGTGTCCCGCACCCCGGGGTGGTACTCACGCCCTTCGGTTTCAAACCGCCACCCTACGAAACGGCCCAGATTTACTACTTCTTCATCTCCACCTCGGACCCCTCTGAATCCGGAATTTATAAATTCGCTTCATTTAAACTGGATTTATGCGTAATGCGCCGCACCCACTGCTGAGATTGTGTGCCAAGTACTTTCACGCTGAGTCCTTTTAGTTACTTAGTAGGGTTGTGTTGTTATAAATTTAAGTGATTTATAAATCTTGTTGGTTAACCTCTTTTTTTAATGAATTTTTTAAGTACTAATAATAACTCTTTTAATTTAATGATATGAATAATGCAGATAATTTTTTCTATAATAAGTTTCAGTTTAACAAAATTATTTCAGAGCACATTTTAAGTAAATTGGATTAATACCCGGTAAAGAAGTTTTATATTTTTAGCCATCCGTAAACCCAGGAGGTAGTTTGACCTCCTGGGTTATCTAATAACTAATAACATTAATATTATTTGATGTTCCTTACCTTACTTAGTATCTATACATTCAGTACACAACATATTTGAAGTTATTAATGTTAGTTTTAGTTAATTAGTCTTATTGATCATTATTTTATTAACAACCTTGAAGTTGACAATTACAAACTAACCTCTGACAGTACTTTAAATGTTATCGTTTATTTAAAACAGCTAGTCAACAAAAGATGGCACTAGTGTAAAATTAAAATTTTAAATTGTTTCCTTTATCTTATTGTTTCATCCTATTCTGAATATTTCCAATATATTATCACGCATATCATTCAAATTGATATTTATTTTTTTATAGCTTGTTTTTAAACCAGGAGGAATATTTTAAATTTCTATCCAAAATGACCTTGTTCGTGACAGACGATTTTTGACAACTGTTGACAACACTTTGAACTTGTAGGTTAGGTTACTGACGTTTGAACGATTCATGTTTATTTTGTAATCTAAAGCTTTTCAATTAACTTACAACAAGTTTCGACTCGTAAAAAGCGTAAGATGTTGTAAAACGACCGATATTATTTGTAGAATTGTCAAAGTTGTTGGTAAGATAAATGTTTCAAGAATTAACAATGGTTAAATAACAATGTTTTATTTATAGTGGTTGGAAAATCAACAATTTATGCTGTGACTAAAGAATATAAGGATACCGGAAGGTTATACAGATAGGAGGAAGACCTGAATTGAATTGCAGTGGAAGTTAATTCAAGTTCTAATTTTGATTTGACAGAAAAAAATGAGGTTATGTTATTAATAAAATTATCGTTTTCTTGAGAGTAATCTACACAGATAGATTGAAAAATCATGAAAAATGAATACAAACATGGATTGGTAATATTTAAATCCTTTGAGGAATGATTATTTTTATTTGACGTTTTAGGTTATGTTTTATAGTGAAAATGATCATATTTTGATCATTTTTAGGGTAAAACTCCTCGTGTTTGTATTAGATTTAACCGGTAGTATATGTTTTGGAAAATTATAGACATGAAAATTATTTTTTTAAAGGTTTTTTTTAACTTCCGATTAGTTCAAGTTAATTGAAGACCTTCCAGCAACAATGAATGAGTCAGCTCCATTTTAACAAATTATTCATGAGGCACAAAAAACTTACCCTAAATCTTTTGCAATAAGTTTTTCTATTAGGTATAATCAAAGTTTTACATATTAGATTATAACTATAATTATATAGTTATATATAAATTAGATTATATTATATATTTTTAACAAAATTAACTTTCAAAAATTTTTTCATAATTGTGTCCAAAAAAAACGACTTCATTACTTTTTTATAGATGTTGAAACACATTTATAAAACCAATAATTTCATATCAATGTCATCATGATTTTCTACCACATTATCAGATTTTAAAGATCTATAAAATGGTAAATTATTTTCGAGTACATACTTATTTGCTAATGAGTGAAGCACCTAAAGAATAAACTAGTTCCTACTCTTGATATTAATCTGGAATATTGCTAGAAATTAATCAGTATTTGCGTAATTATTATTTCTTTAAATAAAAATCATTTTAGATAGTTATTTAGATAGATGTGAATAAATAAGATTTTCTTTCAACTTCATTTACATTCAAGATGAAAAGGATTTCTTAAAATCTCAAGTCGATAAAATCCGAAATAAATTCGTCTTGCATTAAGTAGTTAACCCAGATGGTGATTTGACTTAATGCCAACCGAGTAGTTACTTGACGATGTTGCGAAGTCTTCGTCTGTGGAGGTCACGCAAAAGTTGCCGAAGGCGACCAAAACGGGGGAGATTATTCGGTGGGGTAGGACGCCTTTTAGTGGAGTGAGAAAATCTCCGCTCCGGGTGGAGAAGTACGAGATTTATAAAAGCACTTTTATGTTACTGCAAAACTCTCAATAGACACGGCGAACCTCGCCGATGTGCGTCGTTATGTATGCAATATGAGCCTGAAGAGAGGGGTCGCCAACGTTTTAATATCACCGTAGTCGCTGGTGCACCTGGATTCGTCCGACCTAATATCGCGAAAATGAAAATATTGTCACGATTAAATTACTTTCGCAATTTCGCGCCTCTGTTGCGCTTCGTGAAACCTTCAATGTCGCCTTTTCTTCGGCGGGTATACTTGCGGAATAATTTTTCATTTCTACCGGAATTAAGCGAGAAATGTGGGTATATTGCATTTTTCTTATATACGTTTTTTGAATATGCGAACAAATTTAAGAAAATATTTAATCTCAACATCAATTATGTAACTCTTAAATTATTTCTTTTCAGCGTTGAGAGGTTGTTTTATTTCTGAAGCTGTTTTCTCCCGTAACCAATTTCAGATAATGAATAAGTATCCGTTTATTAATAATAACGAGGCGTCTAGTGCTTTTCTATCAGGAACCTTTAATATCTCTCGAACGCGATGTTGTGCGATAAATTACGAACTGAGAGGGTTCCGCTTATTATTTTCATGAAAGCGGCATCATCGTTTTCCGCGTCCAATAAACAAGAGCGTGTACATATTTTCTCCAACACCTGCGATGTTAAAATGAGCAAGTAAGAGGATACGATCGAGCATAAATATGATGCATTAACGTATTAATAATGGCGCCTCAAGATCGAGTATGACTGAGCGAAATTTATTAAAAGGAAATATTGGAAATGTTAATCCAAGGTTGTAAAACAAACTCTATCGTTGAATAAACATTTCAAGTTAAACAAAAGTGGTATACTCAAACATTAAGTTTGACTGCAAACAATACGACGACGACAAAGATGACCAAAATCGCAGAGTTTCAAAGACCTCCTTCTCTTCCTCTCTAATGTTAATTTAAATTTAGTTGACAACGTTTATGAAATATTTATTGACAACAATTGTTTTAGTTTCATTTTGTAAATACAAATTGAGTACACAATTTGTATTTAAAATTTTGATTATTGAATGTTTTCAATAATTAGTGCATATTCATACAATGGATTATCATAAAGTTAACCGGTAATAGGTTGGGTTTGTATTTTTCCGTTTGCCCCTCGGCAATATGTTGACAAAATTCGTACAATTCGCTCGGAAATTGTTGTTATTAATTTTGGTACGAGTGTTAATTTAGCAAACCAATTCTGCCGGCCACAGCGTTAATTATTCTATTAACGGCACAAATATTTCCCGGTTCACTATTTTCCAGCGTACTCGATTTCAATATATCCCATTTTAATGCATTTTACCGCAGGGATATAATAAGCATTTCATTCCAACTGTATTTATATAGCCGATATCACTACTTGCGTGGTGAAAATTTGCCTTTAAATTTTTATCGTTGTTTATTTCGTGACAAAACTAATAATTAATGTATTCAATTATAAACGAAAATGAGAATATAAACGGTTGTAGGTAATAAAATTTTCAACGTTTATAACAAAAAAAAAGTCCTGAAACAGAAAAGAACATAAAAATTTCATTAAACCAATATTGATACCAGAAGCTATAAAAATTTAAAAAGATCCTTCAGGGCAGGGGAGAATTTTTCGGCAATTATCCCCTGACTCCCTGGAGTATCGTGCCCTCGTTTTTAAGCGATCTTCAAAGTTTGGCACAATTTGCGGACGCGCGAGATTTTTAATGCAAAAGTTTCTAATCTGAAACAGAAGTTGTATCCATCCGCGATGTTCCCTTTCCCTCGTTCTTTACGAGCATGCCAGACATTGCTTTTGATTGATTAAGATAATATACGCGGAAAAGTTCTCGCGATCCGATTTTTAATAAGCTCCCCACCGACTTAGAATGGGGAAAGAAAACAAGGAAATTTATGGCCGTTACTATCCGTATTCGCAACTGCAAACAACAAGTTTTAGCGAAATAACAGGTAGAAATTGGAATGGGTGTAAATAGTATTTATGTCAGAAAAGTGCAATAAGTAGAAAACTTTTATACAAAAATTAGAATTTATTATTATGACGAAAGAATTTGTAATAAGTTACTTTTCTTTTAGAAATAATTTTAAACAATCTTGGAAAACGGACAGCTCCAATAGATCGTTTTGGCCTTCTGTTCATGCTGATTGATGAATGTGAGCCATAAACGGTGAAAATAACGCCTGACTTATTTTGCCAAATATGCCAACCCTACTTAGTACGTCCAAATTGGGACTAAATACTTTTTGCCATTGCCAAATTTGAATTACGTGTGACAATCGTGCTCTGTATCGAATTTTTGTGCT